AAGCTATTTTAGGGAGGTTCGTATATAGCAGAGGGGAGGCAGGCAGTCAGAATCCCTGGCTCAAACCCAGGCTTCGGCACAAAGCTTTCTCACCTCACTCAACCAGGTCATGCACTTCCTGGGCCTCAGTTTCTTCATCTGTGAAATAGGGATTTTAATAGTACCCAACTGTAGGCTTCCTTCTAGAACTCACTGAGAGATGCGTACCTGAAGTAGAGCCTGGCACGTGCTCCGTTCTCAGGAAGCCGTGGCAACTTGTATTATCCCTTCCCGTGGAGGGAAAGGATTTGCCTAACCTCACTCAGTGAGTCAGGAGCAGAACCAGATGTGACGACTCTGAGCCCACCCCAGGCACTGTGTCCTCCTCTGGCCCCTGGAGGCTCAGGAAGCCTCTGGGCCCCATCTCAGGCTCCACACCAAGGGTTCTGTCCCTGAGGGCTACTGTGTGAGGCTGTGGGAGGTGTGGCCTTGGCCTAGCCTGGAAACCTGGCATGAGGCCCCGAGGGAAGGGTCCTTGGCTCCATGGAAAAATTAAAAACATGTTCTCTGTAGGTAGGGTGGGAGACCAGGAATCAAGAAAAGGAATCAAGTGCTAAGAACAGCGGAGATGAGAGAAGCCGGTCAGAGATGAGAGTGAGGTTCTGGGGAGTGGGGTGGAAGCTCAGACTCAGGTCTGCCTGACTCCAAGGACTGTCCTTTTCCCCCCCAAAGAGCAGCATGCGTGCTGGCTATGGCCGTTTCCTCATCTGTAAGAACAAACATACTGGTTACCAGGAATGTGGCCTAAGTGCCAGGGACAGGGTGCCAGGGGCTCTCCCCAGCCACTCACTTTGCTCTGCATTTGTTTGTTTCCTCCCCCACCCATCTCTCTGTCTCTCCCTCTCTCTCTCACTCACACCCCCTCAGAGCTGAATTCTGTGTCTTCTTTGGCTGGGGTTGCCTGACCCCACAGTAAAAGTCACCCACCTCTGTGTGATAGCACCAGAGCTGGGCTCTCAGGAAAGGGTCTCTGCCTGGAATCCCCAGCCCTGCCCCCGTGGCAGACACAGTGAACAAGGTCACATGGTGGGGGGCAGCACCAGGCACGTCAACATTGCTTCTCCCATGCCTCAGCTCCCAGCGGCCCACACACATCCACAGAGAGTGGGATAAGAATGTTTCTCCTCCTCAAGAGTTGGCCCTTCTGTGAATATTTAATATCCCACAGAATAGCATTTTTTCTTCTTTTTTTAAAATTGATTTTTAGAGAGGGAGAGAGAAACATCGATGTGAGAGCGAAACATGGATCAGCTGCTGCCTCCTGCACGCTCCCTACCAGGGATCGAGCCCACAACCCGGGCATGTGCCCTGACCCGGAATCCAACCTGCAGCCTTTCCATGCACAGGACGATGCCCAGCCAGCTGAGCCACACCGACCAGGGCATTTCTTCTTATGGTTTTTGTGCTCCCAACAACTTCACTGTAAAATCTCTTTTAGGAACATAGGAATTGGAGAAAAAGAAGGCACAAAAGGATATCATCTGGGTGTCTGCCCAGTACCTCTTCTAGAGAACCCACCTCCAACCACATCCACAAACACAGGGTACCCCCAAAGCCAGGTCTGTCCTCCATGAACCTGCCCTCCTAGCCAGAGCGGATTGGACCAGAATGGATACCTGGCCCACGCTGGGCCCATGGGATTCTCTCTCCGAGGATCCTGAACAGAGAGGCATGGGAACTGTGAGGGAGCCCCATCACATGAAAGGCGGAGCTCTAGGGGAGCTCTGGCTGCTGGAGGAGCCGACAAAGACTTGGTTCTTGCCTTGTGCATCCTCAGTAGTCACCTTTTCCTTGGCATCTCTGAGTTTCTCCAGTACCTTATAATCTTAAACTGATTTGGAGGAATTTGTTACTTCTCTCCCACAGTCTTGATTGAAACAATGTATTTTTCTGACTGCTTACCAAGTGTCCAGCACAGTGCCAGTTTCTGGAGATAGAATAAGGCCTAAGGCCTGCCCTCTAAGGGAAAACGGCAGGCACACAAATAATGGGAAGTTGCAGAGCCAAGGAAAAGCTCATTGCCAAGGAAGCTGCCCAGCCATGAGGGCCAAGTTGTTCAGAGAAGGGAGAAATCCCAGGGGGCTGACATGCCTCAAAAGACTTGCTGGAGGAGGTAGGATTTGAATGGAAGCTTGGGATATGAGCAAGACGTAGGCAAGTCCAGAAAGCAGTCCATACTAAGAAAGCGATCAGAAAAGGGGATTTGCATTTGACAGATACAACCTCCACAGCAACATAGCAGACACCATCAACACACTTGTTGGACTGGCCCAGAAATAGCCTCAGAATCCTTCTTAACACATCTTCTCTAGGCAGTCTCCAACAAATGGGTACACTGACTTACGAGATGAAACTTCTTTGTTTGGATGAATCTGTCAGCCCAAGGAAAATGGGTTTCAGGAACAAGTAACTAGATTTAGTTGATAGAAATAGAGTTAATAAACTAATACTCAGTTGCTCAGCAAATGTTTATTGAGTGCTTACTATGTGCCAGGCTCTGTTCAGCTGCTGAGGACAGAAGAGTAAAAAAACAAAAATGAAACAAAACAAGAAAAACTCTGCCCCCAGAGAGCTTACATTCTAGTGAGAGAAGACAACCAACAAAATACGTAGGTAAAGACAGACTGTGAGATCGTGTTCAATGCCAGAGAAAAATAAAGCAGGGAAGCAGGTTAGGGTGTGTGTAAGGGGAAAGTGTACAAACACCAGAGCAGCCAGGGAGGGTCTCATTGAGGAGGAGATATTTGAGTAGAGACCTGCAGGAGGTGAGGGAATGAGCTGTGTGGACACCTGGGAGAAGCACGGTCTGAGCAGAGGGTAGCAAATACAAAGGCCCTGAGGGGCGAATGTGAAAGTGTGCTCAGGGACAGCAGGGACAGAATGAATGAAGCAGCAGAGCAAGGCAGAAGATGGCAGGTCAAGGTCAGACAGGTACCAGGAGGACCAGATCTTGTAGGATCTTGGAGTCCACTGCAGTGACTTTGGCTTTGTGTTCAAATGGGAGGAAAAGCCGTTGGAATGCACTGAGCAGAGGACCAATGTAATCCAATTTACGTAATCAACACTGGCTGCTGTGTGGAGAATAGATTAAAGGGGGGAATAATAATAATACTGTATAGTCTAACTTGCTATATATCAGGCACTGTTCAAGGGCTTTCCATATATTAATTCTCATTAATAACTTTTTGAGGTAGGTATTATCATTATCATTCCTATTTACAGATGAGGAAACTGAGGTGTGGACAAAGTAACTTCCAAGGCCCCACAGCAAACACATGTCAGAACTGGAACTCAAAAGTGTGGCCCAGAGCCCCCATTCCTGGCCTCTCTCTTACTCCATGGAGGGGTAGTAGGCACACAGTAGGAGGCAGAGAAAGGAGCTGGATGGGGGAGGGCCTTGAATGCTGGGCTAAATAACTTAGACCTATAATATGTGCATCACTAAGGAGACACTGAAAATTTCTGAACAGGAAACAACATGCATAAAATAGCGTGGAGACTGATAGGAGGGGAGAGGCTGAAGGCTGGAGGCCATTGGAAGGCTTGTAGAGCCTGCAATGTGCAAACAACCCTCTGAGGCTCCCCTTCCTCCACTGAACTGGGACTTCACAGGTCACAGGTCCAAGCCAACAAGAAGCTTTATGGCTGCTCTCTGGGGCCCAGGGGAGGAGTCAAGAAACCTTTCTAGATGTGGCCACTGATTGACATGTTCTATGTCTCACCTGTTGCTCTACCTCCTGGTCTTCAAGAAGGGTAAGGAAAGATCTGGAATTACCATTATACTCCCTGACAGGAGAACCTTTCCTGGTAAAACAAATAGAACTTGGGTTTTCTCCCTAAAGCTCACCGTGGAGAGGAACAAGTCTGTAACAGCGGTGGACCTTTTCTTTATTCCTGTGGTGTAAAAGAGTCTGCCACGTGTTATCACAATCACTATACCTCCAGTTTAAATGGGGGATGACTCTTTTGATCATAATTTGTTACATAATCAATTATATTATAAAATCATCTTGTTTAGCTGGCTATTTCACTTCTCTCCTCAATAACAGAGTCCTTTGACCTCACATCTGTGCTGTGTGGCAGGAAGGGGTCATTAGAACCGTCTCACAATGAGGCCCAGAGAGATCGAGTGACTGCCTCATGATTACACAGTGACCCAGGAAGCAGCTCAGATGAGAACAGAGGATGCTCTATAGTGAGAATTTTGGGAAGCCTTTCTTTTGATCAAAAGTCACTGACCCATAGACATGATCAGTCAGGCCCACACTTAAAAGGAAGTTAATTTAGAAGTTTTAAAAATATAGGAAACATTAAACTCAACTACCTAACTGAAAAACAGTAAGGATAAAACTATGCCATAAACATAACGAAAATGTACTCTGGATCTTGATCACATCCAGAGATACAGGCAGCAGAAACAGCAGAAGGTGAGGAATGACACAAACTGGAAGACACAGAAGACAGAACACACACATGCCATGACCTCTCAAAGAACTACAGTATGTTTCCACTCATCTACATACATACAGGAGCCAAGCTGGCCTAGTTTATAAGTAAGTAGTCTCTTCAGAAGTTAAATTCCTAGAGGCAGGTTTCTCATTGTTAGATGAGGGCGTTAAGGGGGGCCGGGGAAGGCCAGACTAAACCCTAGGTTTTGGACTTAAGCTCTCAGTACGAACTCAAGGTCACACACGCCCATGTCATAGCTCTATCTGCTGAGCAGCTCAGAAGCAATGAGCACACCTACAGATCTTGGTTTCTAATTACCATGCTCCACTAGAAGGAAGGAGGGCTCCCCGGAGAAATGACTGATTCTGAGGTTGGGGAAAGCAAACGCAAGAGAGTCTGAGCTGTCTGGTGCTTAAAGAATGGAGGAGCATGTCAAAAGGATATAAGCACCAGCTTGAAAGAGCTCCTATTAAAAAAATCTGGACAATCTGAATAATAAATATTAACAGTAATGGCTTATAATCGGTTTAATAAAATGAAAATTCACAAGTCCACACGGATATAAATAAACGAACAAATATTTGGGGGAGAAGGGAAAGGTCTTCCTCACAAAACGTCAAGTGATAAAGAATAATGAATTTAGAAAATCACCAATGCATGCTAAAACTAATGATGTTTTGATAAGGAGTTACAGTCTCAAATGAATCTCCCCAGAATTTCCTCATTAATTACAGAGAAAAATAGTAAATGTATAGTGGAGAAACCATGCAAACACAACTTGAGCAAGTGATCGAAGTCCACATCATTAATGTAGAGACAGATGGACAGCATATGACACACTGAAAAGGACACCTCAACAGCTCTGCCAGCACTGTAAAACCTGAACGCCAAACACGAGGAAATATCAAACCCAAACTGAGAAACACTGTACAAAATGACTGGCTTGTACTCTTCAAAACTGTCAAGGTCAAGCCCTGGCCAGGTGGCTCCGTTGGAGCGTCGTCCCGTACACCAAAAGGTTGTGGGTTCGATCCCCAGTTGGGGTGTGTACGGGAAGCAACTGGTATTTCTCTCTCGTTTCTTTCTCTCTCCACCCCTTTCTCTGAAATCAATGAACATATCCTTGGGTGGGATTAAAAAACAATAATAATGTCAAGATCAAGACAAAAGGCTGATGAACTCTGGATTAAAGAAAGAGACTCAACAATGAAATACAGTGCATGATCCTGGACTGGGGAAAATAACTAGACAATATATTACTTCGACAATTTACAAAATTTGAATAGGTACTGTGGATTAAATAATACTATTGTATCCATGTTAAATTCCTGATTCTGGTAACTGCACTTGGTTACATAGGATACTGTTCTTATTCTTAGAAAATGTACAATGAAGTATTTAGAAGTAAATGGGGATGCTGTCTCCAGCTTACACTCAAATGGTTCAAAACATACAAACACACACACACACACACACACACACAAAGATAAATAAGGAAAAACATGTGAACAATGGTGAACATGGGTAAAGGGTACAAAGAAGGTCCTTGTATTATTTCCACAACCTTTCTGTAAGTGTAGAATTACATAAAAATCAAAAGTTACCAAAATATTTAACCCTCTAAAAGTAAAATATAAAAGTAGTAAATATCATCAGTATACATTATAGAAAAGTTTTCTTTCCATTTTCCACCTAGTGGTGGGTACATTTTACTGTGCGTAAATCATGCCTAAAAAAGAAAACCTAACTGGAAGTGTATCTAGTTTTTAAGATGCACAGGTCAATAAGAAGTCATGATGGGTTATTACATTTCTAAGGATATAGCAAAACTCATCAGTATCGCTGACCTGGAGCTCCGGTTGATAACTATGTTTCTGATTAATGAACACAGGAATTATTATTACTTTTTAATAAACATGGCTGATTTAAAAATCTTATCAACTTATTCTTATCAATTGAAACTCAATGAAACTGACTCTGATCAATTTCAACTTGGTTCAATCAGGTTTCTGTCAAATCAGGTTTAAACTGGATCAAACCACTTTGAATGAACCTTCCCAGTTTAAATGGCTTTCGCCCAGCACAGCAGAGTAGTTGAATCTGGGTTCTGGAATCAGTAAAACCCCTCCTGGATCACCTCGTAGCTGTTTGTCCTTGGGCAAGTTCATTTATCTTTCAAAGTCTGTTTCTTCATCTATAAAATAAAGATAGTAAGTACTTTTCTCATAGGATTGGTGTAAAAATTATGCATCATGATGTATGCAAAGCCTTAGAACAGTAACGCAGAGTATGTACCCAATAAATACTATTACTATAAATTCATTTTAAGTGATCAAATTAAGTTCTGCCTGCCCCAAACTGGCTAGACCAGGAATAAAGGTGGCTTGACTGACAGTTGATAATGAGCGCCTTTTTCTAGTCCCAGTTTCTTCCCTATTAAAGTCTCGCTCCTGCCCACTCCTGAATTCCTCCTAGAATTCTTGCCGCCAACTTCCCCCACACAGATCTTCTGATGCAGAACTGCTTAGTGAGGACAGCACAGCTGAAGCCAATTATCCCGCATGCACGTGCTCAGTCACTTTCCTGCTGCCTACCAGCCAGAGCTCCTTGAGGAGCCTCGAGTTCCCATTCTGCTTCTTCAGTGTCCTCCTTCCCCCCCACCCCCTGGCCTCACACTGAGACCATGTGCTCAGCGTGCATCTCTGATTTTTAAAAAGCTAAAGTGGGGTGTCACAGGGGAGAATCCACAGTGACTTGACTCAGGTGTATCTTTATGGAGCAGAGTGAAAACAACTGATACTAATACTTGTCAAGACACACAGATTTCTAACAATTTTTAGACTTTTTATTACCGGGAACTCACCTGAGACATCCATTTTCTCCCTCAGATCTTGCTAATTGAGATTCTAAAAGCCAACTGGAGCCCAAAGATAATGCCCTTTCTGATTTGGAACAGTCCCCTACCTACCATTAAAACCATGCACTCTATTCAGACTCAAATAGCAACAACTTTTAAGTATTTGTGTTAGCACATGTATTTGACCCTCAAAGCCTATAATGTAGGAATTACTTTTTCTCCCTTTACAGAGAAAAACTTAAGGAAACCCCCCACGCCCTTGGTCAGATGGGAAGTCAACGGTGGTGCAGGAATGCGGACCCAGGTCCTCTGGCCCCAAATCCTGTGTTCTTCCCGCTGTATAACTCTGCCTCTCCCTGTTCCCCATCTGCCATAGCTTCTCACCAACTCTCACACTTGCTCTACACACAGGCTGCTCAGTGAACATGGGAGCTTCTGCCCTGCTCTGCCCAGGTCGGATTGCCCGGAATCATCCCTTGGTGTCCAAGGGGAAGTGGTGCTTGCAGCACACTTACAGAAAAACGTGGTGATAGCTTCCAGATGAGCTTGTTATTCTAAATTTAACATTCCTTTTGGTACTTAGACTTTCCACTTTCTTCCTGCCACCCCTTTGCATTTATGTAATTAGAAAGCATGCAACAGGAAACCGTGTGTGTCTCCGTACCAGTCAGGAGGAAGGCTGTTGTAGCCTCATGGAGTCCATCCTTGTGGAAATACTTTGCAGAGTTTATTTGGACAGGTTCAAAAATAGTCCTGCAACAATACAATCAGATTGCACCACAACAAGTAAAATGTAATTATGGCTTGGTTACATAAAAAAAAAAGATGTAAACAGTGAGGTTTGGAAAAACTAAAAGCAAAACTACATAGATTTTCTCCTCCATGCCCAATCTCTGCATTTCCTGCAAGCAGGATTTCAAGATTGCATCCTCAGGTCTTTTGACATGGATGAGAGAGGATGACACTCACTAAAGGAGACAGCTCCAGAGTGTGTTCTGAGGCCACTTCTCAGAACAAAGGCATACTTCTGTACAAGGCAAATGCAGCCCGATAAAGGCTCCCCCAGGGTACTCAGAATGCCAAAGCCATTCACCTAAAGGAGTTCAAAATACATATTGTTCTGGGCCAAATTACAGTGTCAAGCTCAGACTATATGTATTTATGTATGTTGGCAGAGCAGGCCTCTTTTGGGGCGCCACAGTTTTATCCTTGTATCCCGTGCCCAGTTGGGTTCCCATCTCTCTCTCTCCCCAAACCCATGAATTTCCTTGTACTTGGTTTCAGAAGGGAGGACAAGAAGCAAAGTCAAAGTTTCACAACCCCACAAGGGAACAGGGCCCCGGAGGACTTGAATTTCTAGCGAAACTTATAGTAGAGCAGAACGTGTGCCTTTGCCAACAAGCTGGAACTTTCTCAAGGTTGACTTGAGATGGGGGCAGGGAGTGGGGACAAGATCGAGCACTGTGCTTTGGGCCAGTCTCTGCTGAGAGCTACAAGACAGAAATACAAAGTACTCTGGAATTAAAGCAAACGGCCAACGCCTCCTTTGGCTGGCCCCTGCCCAGAACTATTTCCTCACAGAGCTCACCAGTTTCTCAAAACACGTAAGTGGTATTTCAAAGGTGCTGGGCAAAGGGATCCATCCAAATAAATGCCTAAAACCTAATGACTAATGAGATAGAGAAGTCTGATTCAAGTATCCGTTTCCACTCTTCTTCTGACATGTCTAGAGAATTAGTAGGCATGCTGTGTTTTCTGTGTCTTTTTATTTCAATTTTAGAAGAGGACCTGTTGTTCTCTCTGCCCAAATAAAAACACAAAAATTGCGAGGAAATATTAACTTTTAAAGCAAATATGGAGAAGACAAGTGTAAGGGATGAAACAGGTTGGTGGGTTATTTTTCCCTTAATTAACTGGGTTGTCGTGATCATGGAATGAAAAGGGCAAAGTGAAAAGCAGCCGAATGGCTACAGCAAGCCAAGGCCATGACTTACAGTCCTGGGCACAGGCCTGTCTCTGGGTTTTAACTGATCCAAAGTAACAAAACCACCCAGGGAGCAGAGGAGCCTGCACAGTTTGCAGAGCAGAGGGCCACTGCTGCCTCTTCTGGTCCAGAGCTTAGCACGCCTTTCCGGGAAGAGGAGTAGAGTGCAGGATAAGGGAGGGGGAAAGGGGGGGCATTTCTACCCTGAATCTACTCCTCACAACACTTGCAAGAACCACCTAACCGATGTTCCCGAACTGGGGTCAGACACGAGTTGTACGCTGGTGCCCAGCCTCATCCGCCACACCCCTCTCGCCCCTGCACCTCTGGCTGTACTGGCCACTTGCCGTTTCCCAGCCGTAAGAGCACTGCGCCAGGATTCCAAGCCTTCACGTAAGTGCCTTTCCTTTCCTTCTTGTCTCTCAGGGATGTCCAGGCCAACTTCAAGTCTCAGCTCGTGTTACTTCCTCCTCTGCCAGGCCACCCCAAGGAAACGCAGTTGTTCCTTCTCTTTTGTCCTCACTGCACTTTGGCTACAACTCTCCTCTTCCAGTGTCACAAGAACTTGTCTGTCTGTCCTTCCATCAGACTCTAAGCTCCTTGAAGGCAGGGGTGTGTATCTTATCTTTCCATCTACCTATCTCTGCTGCCAACGCCTGTGCCTGGCTCACCGTAGCTGCTCAGCCAACATTTACAGGAAAAAGCAATGGGTGGGATCACCTCTGCCCATCTTAATTTTATTATAAAGAGAGAAATAAGATATGAAAGACTGAGTTCTGAGGTTCTGAATATTTTCAGAAGAAATTGCTACAATAAGACTTTTGGGTCCAGCCTCCCTGTTTCAAGTGAATCCAAAGGAATAAACTCAGAGGGGCATTAGAAGTGGCCCTTTCGTCCTCAAATTTCTGCTGCCACATGAAGACAAAAATCAAGTCTAAATGTGCCCTTCCAGTCAGGTGGGTATGTCATGCACTCTCCCAAACCTTAGGACAAAGCCCCCAGTGAAGCCTGGACTGTGTCAAGCTCCATGAAGCTTCGGAAAACCGTGACATCACACCGTGAGCCATCGACACAGCAGGTTACACACCCTGCCAATGCAGCCAGCAATCTGACCTCAGCGCAGCAGGCTCAGCTGAAACGTGCCCTGCCGGGCCCAGTGGCGAGAAGAACATACACATGGTAAAGAGCTGCTATCGCGAGGCAAGACTCCTCAAGACATTCGTCATCTTCACCAGACCACGCAGCAGCAACCTCCAACCTCCGATTTATGAGGTGGAAGCAGTTCTGAAAACTACACATTAGGAATGCACAACGGCTGTGGTTTCAGCAAGGTTCTCAGAGAGCTTGGGACCAGGCGGTTACAGCTGCTGGCAGTTCAAGTATAATCTTCCTCATGCTCAGATACCAAAGGCAAAGAAATGCAGGCAAGGCACGAAGCTGCCTATTTTTGTTTAATTTATTTCTTTTAAGACCACCTTCTTGCAATTTCCAGAGAGAAAATACAAAACAAGAAACAGACTTGGTTTCAAATACAGAAACAGTGCGCTGGAGTTTAAAACGCTGCTGATAACTTTGCTACAGGAGAATGTCAGCTTACTCCAGGGCAATCAGTATTCCTGAGGAACAGACATGATTTCTCTTCTCCTCCCACTGGGATGTTCGCAGGTCAAAGTCACTGCTTCTGCTCCTGTAAAGGATGGACACTCCGGTTAGAACTGTAGAGATGGCATTTTGCCAACCTTCTCTAACTTGCTACTGCAGTTCAGACCCAAGGGAGCAATGGGCCAAAACCTTACCACACTGTTTGCTTTAAAACTGTCTCACAAGAGGACTGCATACATCCTGCCCAGGCTCTGAAGAAAAGCTCCCCAAACATTGAGCTCCCCAAACATTGAAGGATAATAGGGAAGGAGAGGAACAGGGCTAAATAATCGGTACCTGGGTAAGTATATTCCTAAAGCCACCAAAGGGACAGATCACAGGTGAGTGGGGGGGAAAAGGCGCCGGAATCAAACAGCCTACTAATGATGGGATCTTTGGCAAGTTTCTTAACCTCAGTAAGATTCAGATTTCTCACCTTCTGAAAGAGGATAACAACACCTCTCTCGCCAATCTACTGGGGGTGGGGGAGGTCTAGAGAAAGGATATAGAGCACCTAGGATGATCCACAGGGTATAGCAGGCACTCCAGAAGCAATTACCGTAATATGACTACATTCAAAAAGCCCGAAGTTGGGACTTTGCTCCTTTTTTAGAGAATGGAGGATGACAACATCAAGGCACAGACTCAAGTTCAGATAAAGTTACAAGGCCATTTTGGAGCAGTACACACAAGGCTATAAAAAATGTACCAATATTTTCCACAGTGACTCCCAGCCATTAGATACATAATATGCATATAATCACCCCTGAGCCATTTCCATGGAAACTCAGCTTGGAACACTTCAAACAATTAAAAGACCTGGAGCTCCTCTCCTGTTCCTCTCTGTTCTCTCCCAAATTCAGCTGTGGTGCCAATAAAGTGAAGATCTGGGAGCAGTGGAAACTGCCTGTCGTCAGCTTTGTGCCACACAGCTGCACCTCTTCTTGTGCTGTCCCTCTCATTACCTCACCCTGGCTCTGGCACAGAGATGGCTCATTAACATGGAGGATGGCGAAAGGCCTGCCACTTCCTAATTGGCCAACTCTCTGCTCCCAGTTCTCTCTCCAAACACGCACAGGATGGTTATGGGATGGCTGGTAGACAGCTGACACTGGACAGGTTCTAAGAGACTACTGAGCTGTGGTGCAGCACTGTCCTTTTAGATTTGGTGAGAGCTTTTGACCAGAATTGGGACACTCATCTGTACATTTTCTGCCCTACTTATTATAATGGAACAATGGACAAATCAATCACTCTGTCTTGGTTGGCCTCAACTACAATAACAAACATACCTATTTATATAATACCTCATAGCTTAAAGCCATGTTCACATTACCCTCACAACAACCCTATAGATAGAATTATTACCCTCATCTGATAGACAGAAAAGAGCATCTCAGCAGCAAACAACTCAGGATCACATAGGAAGCAAGTGATAGACCAGGCAGGACTCACAAGCTGGCCTTCTGGCTTCTGTGCTCTCTCCACTAGCCTCCTGAGGCTGTCGAGATCACAGTGATTCTAGCTCAAGGGTAACCCAGAAAGCAGATGATTCTGCATATCCGGGGAATCTGAAGTTCTTCACTGAAGTTTGTATTGCTATAAAGGGTATGCCTTAGTAAGCCTGGGGCAATTAGCACATCTAATAGGATCTACCATTTACTTCATTCACTTCACATTTATTTGAGCGCCTACTTTGTTCCAGGCCCTGGAGATACAAAAATAAATACACTCCTCTGGTCCTTGAGCACCCTGCTTCCCATGAACCCTTCCCTTACACCCCAGGTAACCAGTCATCTAAAAAGTAAGGTGATGAGTGCTGGCCAGTGTGGTTCAGTTGGTTAGAGCGTTGGCCCAAGCACTGAAGGGTCTCGGGTTCGATTCCCAATCAAGGGCGCGTACCTGGGTTGCATGCAGGAGGGGATCTATCAATATGCCTCTCTCCCCCCCTCTCTTCTACTCTCTCTNGTTCGATTCCCAATCAAGGGCGCGTACCTGGGTTGCATGCAGGAGGGGATCTATCAATATGCCTCTCTCTCCCCCCCTCTCTTCTACTCTCTCTAAAAAAAAAAAAAATCAACGAAAAAAATATCCTCAGGCAACAAAAAAAGCTGCTACATACAAAATCTTCAGGGAATGTGCCACCTTCTTCCCTCAAGGCATGTGTTACAATTTTTCATTTTGTCTGAATCATTAAAAACACATCTATAGACAAGGACTTCAGCAGAATTACGTGGGGCATATAGTCAAGAACCTACCCTCTTCAATAAAAAGCAGAATAATGACTGAACCCCAGAAGCCTTCAAGTTTAGCCTCAGGATGTGTGAGATGTTTACAGGGCACTCTGAGATCTGAACAAAAGTGCTACTTACAGATATTTAACACAAGTCTACTTTACCATGACGATACACTTTCAGGCAGGTTTGTCAATTCCAGTCAGCTAACATGAGCATAGATCTGAATGCACATATGCATCTCAAGGTACAGGGGAGGGGGGAGACTTTAGGCACCAAAGAGGTGTCAACATCACTAAAGGCAGCAGAGCAATTAGGATCTCAGTGGTGCCCCATGACACACACAGCTTATTCACTATCGATACTATAAAGAATTCTTCAGGGACTGAGGAGAAAACTCTTTTTCCTTGGAAAGAGAAATATCAGTTCAGTACATACTTTGACATATTTTCCATGTAGAAGATATGGAGCTTGGAAATCATGCTGACAGTTGGAGTAGGCCATTCCCAATCCCATGCCAGAACCAAAGGCTAGTGGCCACATTCTTCCTAGAGCAGAAAAAAGAAAAACCCAACAGGGAACCATTATGAACAGATACAGCTTTTTTCTCTGGCTCAACTACATTTGCTTAGGGTTCAATAAATATTCAACATGCATCACACAGATGACTATACTATGCCACATTTTGTCAATGTTTCACTAGTGGTCAAAAAAAAAAAAAAAGAAGAGGGAGGCTAATAGTAAACTTACTAATTTACGAAGTATTTGTTAAGTACTTATGCTGCCAGATTTGAGGTATTAATAATGATATATGTCAACAGTATATAATGGTAAAATAAGAAAACAGTAGACATAGTTGAACCTTTTAATTTCTCTTTATCAGTTCTAATGATTTGCTCATTTTAACTAATTTTTTACCCTTAGCAGAAATATTTCAGTAAAGTGCTTGAATTTTTTAAATATCTAAGAATTTCACCAATATTTACATATTTTGATTATAGTAAGTCATGAGGCTTACTTAAGCCAATACTGTAAATGATTATTTCATATCAGCACAATGTGTTATTTATGATTGTATAGTTATGTATTTCCACCAGTTCTTCATGGAAAGAGGGCAATAGCCAAACTTCGGCTCTTCCACAGAATGAAAGGGATATTGCCTGCCCTTTGCTTAGAAGAACTCTTGGCCAAAAAGCATGTGTATTTCTGGTCCAGTTATTTATATTACTAGCAGAACTCTCATTTTCAAGTTCCTTTCCAAAAAATTATAATTAATTAGAAATATCTGAGCATGCAGATTTGGCCAAATGACTCACTGGCATAAAGTACAGGCTTTTTCAATGATATCATATTTCAGATATCAAGCACCCTGACTCAATGCCCAGGGGGAATGCTGGAGATGCTCAACCCATTTTGACCTCTTCTGAGTCCACATTCTTTGTCTAGCTACCTAAACTCATAAATGGCTGGGTTGGCAATCATGCAGCTGTGCCTTCCAGAAGTGTCCCTGCTCTGTGTATGTACACTAGGGCATTATGTTGGAAAGGCAGTAAGAGTCATACTTACTTTTAAAGAAGATAAGTGAGAAAACAAGTCCTAATCCAAAACCAGTACCTGCAAAGAGGGAGGGAAAGCATGTTACATCCCATAATAGTAACTTGACAAAAATAAAGTGAACATTTCATAAATGTGAACAGCTATAAAGATTTTTTTTTTTTCATAATCTGGCATAGAGTTGATTTTTTTATTTCTACTCTTCCTTCTTGTTGTCAGAGGTTTTTTAGGTGCTTTTGGTCCCCTGCCCACAATAGGGGATAAAAACGTTATTCCCCATTCTGTCTGCTCTTGGGGGTGAGAGAACAGTTCTTGAGGACAGGCTCTCTGCACTGCTGGGAATACTCTCCTGCCCGTTGGCAGGGGCACCGCAGCCAGAACATCAGAAGTAACGATGTCAACTGGAAGCTCCCGTTGTCATTTCAACAGTTTGAGTGACGGCTGCTTTCTGAGGAAGATTTGGAAAGGAGTGATCCAGAACAATTCTTAAAGGTTGTCACAAGCCAGTGTCCAACATGGAGATTAATCCCCTCCCCTCATACTCATAGGGCATTTTTAACCACCATCTTTCCAAATGAAAGCACACACACAAGCCTATTTTAATGGTCTGGTAGAAAAAAATTTGTAAATATCCAATTTTAAATTAAACTTCACAGGCACCTAAGCTTGAAAAAATGGACCAAATCCTCATTTTTACCAGTATTTCTCAAACCTTGGTCATTCTAGTGCTACCATCACAATTTTTGCTAAATCCACACATCACCTGTACAATTACTTACTTAATAGTTTTTAAAAAATCAATGCATGTATTTAATTCAATAATTTTAGCCTCAACTTAATAATACTGGTATAATCACAGATCTAAGTGCTTGTTGTATTTTTTTCATAAAATATATTAAAATGAATGTAGAACCAGTAAAACAAAAATATTTGTCTATGGTACCACTTTAGAAAAAAAAAAAAAAATCACCTCATATACTTTAGTGACACATATCCCAAACTTTGAGAAAAACTTATTTTTTCCATTACCAAAAAATTTATACCTGCCAAGGAAGAGAACCAAAATCTGATTTTTCTCCTTCAGATTTGATAGTTGTTTTCGCACCTTTCAGAGCATGCTGATGCTTTACTGACTGTACCATGGTCCAACAGAGTCCCTGACTACCATCTTTATAATTTAGCACCACATAAAAGTCCCAGTTCTCACTTGCCTAAATGGTTTTCAAATTTGTGCCTCTGAAATTCCAAGAGCTTCCTTTCTATCTAATCATGATTTTAGGCTACCACAGTGTGAACATTCAAAGTACTCCTCAATCAACCAACCTGATCTTTTCTGCTCCAAACACAGAGAACTTCATCACGAGCAAGCAGGCTAACCCACTTCTTTTCTGATCCACCTATGCAACCACCCAGCTGATGAAGAAATATTTATGCTATTACCCAGAATAATTTCTGATCACTCTCACCTACCGTATATATGTGGCCATGATGTATGTTTCTTTCCTATGACTGTATCCTACACAAATATGAATTTTAATTAAAAATTATTACTTTGCCCTAATAGACCTTGCATTAGGGTACTGATTTGGTGCCCAACTTTAACATGCAACATCTGAAAATCACTCATGTCATCCCAATTTCCATATAAATTGTAGAAAACTAGTCATTTTACAGACACAATAATTAACCTACTCAAGACTGACATAATGAAAAGGAAAAGGAACTAACATTTCAGTATTTCCTATGAGTACCTAACATTTTCTTCCTTCCAAAAACTTATCTATTAAACCAAGCAACAACCTGATACGGTTAGTATCATGTCCCATTTTCCAGATGCAGAAAAAACCTGCTCAAGGATACTGTTTACTTAATAGTAGAGCAGTGAACTGGGCCCAAGTCTGCCAGACTCCAAAGCCACTATACCCACTATATTCCTGACACTGGATTCCCCTACAGTTTCAAGCCCTAAACAATCACTACCTCCCAAGGGAAACTAGAGTATCAAGACTTCTGCTGCCAGTGCAGTAATATACAGCCAAAAACAAATTGTGCTTCCCATGCAACAGCCCAGAACACTAAGCAACCAGGGTAGTAACAAGTCTACACAAGGCCAAAAGGGCTTGTTCAGATTCCTTCCCAGACTAATCCAACCGCACATGTCACAGACACAAGTCTACCTGATACGCGTGAGTCAACTTCAGAGAAATGGGAGCTATCGCGATTGATACTCCTGGCAAGAATCTGCTGTTGCTTCGTTTATAAAATGGCACAGGGCTCAATTTCAAAACGACTTGCCTCACCCCCTTGCAGCTGGAAGATGAGTAAGACAGTAAAATTGGTACTAGAAAATGAGGTAAAGGATTTGGACCGGCTTACAGATTTCAAACCAGGCAATGGGATGGGGAGGTAGGCCAGTAAAAACATAATGGCTTACAATCAGAGCTTTTGGTCTTCTCCATCTGGAAGGCAATTTTTTGGCAAACAAATCAAAAGCCCAAAAGGAAAATATTTCAGCATTTTTCTTGTCCCTCTGACTCCATGCCTGTCTCTCCTATTTTCCCCCCAAGGAAAGAAAGCTCTCTGATGCTCAACTTTTCCTAGCAGTATACCAAGAACGATGCTAAGCCCACTGCTAACAGTATTGTTCAACCACAAAGATAAGAAATGCTTCAACATCAATCAATACAGATTTAAAAATCTTTAATCTCTAGACTTTATTTAAGTTCAGGTATATGTCCAACCACCTAGTTTCGTTCCTAGAAAAGGAAGTTATCTGCAAGTATACGTGAGATCAAAATCACAGTTCAGACTAGCCAAAGGCAGTATGTGTTCTGTGATCTGTTAAACTGGGCTGCTCCATCTTAAATTCTTAAAAGTTATTTCCTTCCTCCATTTCTATAAGACACAAAATAACAAGACTTTCCTTTTCAGAAAAAAATATGAAAAATGATTTTTAAATGCCAGTGTTTTACTTAAAGTTAACTATCTCAGTTATTTAAGAGATAAACAATGGTGGTACTACTGATGAGTTTTACAGGTTCAAGTTCTCACATGCTCAATTTTCTTTTAAAAGGCAACAAGTTGCTTCAAAGAAAGTCCCACCTGATCAGGGGACACCAACTCTGCAGCTGTTTCCACTAAAGATTGGCACCTCTACGCCAGGTTTAAACTTCATTAACAATAAAACATGAAAGGTCTGTCTTACAATAAAAACAAACCAACATGGAAAAGAGAAGAGTTTTCTCTGCCTTTGGCCACTTTTTTTCTGTTGTTGCATGACAAGCTCCCTTAGAGGAAAAAAGCCAAAGGAAAAAGTACAAAGCATTTTTCACCTTCCCTGGAAGCAAATATTTAACTATGAACACAGTTTATATAACTTTTCCTCCCCCCACACAAGCCTGTTCTTTTGGTCCATGCTGTCTGTCTGGAATGACAAATAACCCTAAAGTAAAGAAATGCCTGATTATAGGTACACATCTTCCTCACGGCAAAGCCTAGTTATGGGGGGAGAGGGGGGGCAAACAAAAAAAACCCACAACAGAGGAACCTTATGGAATTGACATTAGGCAAGGAGCCCATGCTCTGAAACCATTTCTTTTGGAGAGGAAAAAGAATTGGCACAAATTCTTTCAAAAAGAAATTACTCCAAATCAATCTAACCCTGCACTTTAACGCATGCTTAGTGCCCAAAAGGACATCATAAAACTGGCTAGTAGATAAACACACATTTTTAGGAAGGAGCAACTCCCTAACAGCTCATCTAATACTATTTTAATAACAAAACAATGGAGAACTCACTCCCACTAGCTACATATAAAATACTGCCTTATCTTATGCCCAAGTGGATTCTATAACAAGTTTAAAAAACTAACAGCAGTATGCCAGTGTACACATTAAGCCACATTTTGTGTAAGAAAGAGGGGGAAATATATGTTGATGGCTGTTACTGAGACATATGGACAATTTCCAGTTAGTCAATGCAATTTTATTTAGAAAAATCTCTGCCCTCACCATGCCACATGTCATAAAGCTTTACTCCATCGCAAATAATTAGGAAGCAAACATAATCAGCAAGAATTAACAAGCAGGCTACATAATCCGATTGCCGTCTTGAGGTAGAAGTGTACTTTAGATGTCAGTCCCTCAACAAAACAAGCAGGAGCAATACCCACTCCTGCCCAATCAACTTTGTAAAAGTTGCAATTGCCAATGGACTTTCAATTAAGAAGGAATAACTCATTGTATGGAAAGGCACAGAAAAAAACAAATCCTCAGTTCTCTTAGAGAACATTTCTCTAAAATTTCAGAGAGGAGGAAAAGTCCACAAACCCACCTCACTGGTCTATTCATTATATGTTATTTATATAATAATGAAGGTCTCATTCCAGCTCACATTTAACACTTCAAACCAAGCTCCTAAATTCATAAGCCTAATACATAGTTATCAATGCTAAATTTGATCTGTATCTAAAAATTAATTAAAATTGCAAAGCAACTCAATTTTAATTTGTATAATAACATATATCAAGATATACGAGCAGAAACTTTACCATAAGCAACTGGCAGTTTATAAATATGAGAAGCTACAGGAATTATAAGCAAGTTTTTAAGATCCTAGAAGCCATGTGCCAAAAAACTTTCTTCTTAAATGTCTGAAAGAAAAGATACAGCTTCCAGAAAATGAGGGGCTTGCTCTCCTGCTGAGTGGAATGGCAGGAGCACTGATGCTGCAGTGAGACAGGCCGAGTTCAAACCACTGCTGACTCCTGACCTGCAGCTCTCTGGCCTCGGGTCAATGACTTAACCCCTTCCGGCCTCAATGTGCTCATCTGTCGAGTGAAGACAATCTTACAGGGCTGCAGTATATGGAAAATGTAAGGTATCTAGCAGTGTCTGACAGAATTTAATAAGTGGTAGTAAGTTCTGCCGCCACTCTAATAAAACTCAGAAGACATCAAAAGTGTAATGTAATAGTTAGTCCTCTATTAAAATATCAGTCCCTGGCTCGCTCAGGATCACACTCACTGAGGGTGAGCCACAGCTGAAATCAGAACCTTTTC